ACCTTCTATCGATCTGAGATAAATATGTACTTCTGATAATTGCCAACTAACCCTATCAATTCACCAAAGAACCATTCCCAAGAGTCCTTACATTTTACCTCAACAACAGCAATTGCAATTGGATAAAAGCTATTGTTAGCATCCCTACCAACAACACACACTAAATGTCCCCCATAGGATCCTTTTAAGAAACAAACATCTAGACCAATAAATGGTCTATGTCCCATTAAAAATCCTTTCCACATAGCCTCTAGGAAAAAGAACAATCTATAGAATGAAGTACCCTCATCAATATAGGGCATTGTTCTTACATTAACAACACTCCCAAGATTTATTTCCTTGATTAAGGCACAATAATATCTAGATCTTGTAAATTGTTTTATATAATCACTTTCAATCATTTCTAAAGCCAGCTTCTTTGCCAAAGCAACCTTTTATTTGGTCATTTCAACATTAAATTAATTTTCAACAAAGCCATCCAATGTGCAATTTGGTTCAGCCATAATTTTTCCAGTATAATGCTTTGCAATATAACTATATGTCAACTGCCTATTGTGCCTTACACCAGTACAGTTGTGATAATCAATGAACTTTTTTATTTGGAAGGATTATTTATCTTCACCATTTTTAGAGGCATGAATCATCCACCCACATTTTGCCTTGCATAGATTCTATCTCCATTATTCTTCTGAAATGTTATATCCAACTTGCCTTTTATAGCTATGTCCTGACTGCTTTTCTAAATTCTGCTGCCCAACCAAATTCATGCTTATTTCAAGTTTCTTGTTTCCCAAGTCTGTATGAACATTGAAATTTAGATAAGATGGCCCACTTGTGGCATCATCCTCATCCTCTCCACCACTTGAAAAAGCCAAACTCATCAACTCCTCACTTGGTACATATTCAGAAGCTTTATCACTATCATCGTCTTTATCAGATTCAATATGAGGTTGTGTATCCTCAGTTACGTCATCTACTTGATGGTCAACATCATTTCTGCCCTCATTCACCTCAGTTGCATATTCATTATTTCTTACTTCATCAACCTCCTATACGCTTCTTCATAATTTCTTATTCCATTTGTTGCATCCATCATATCTACCATAAAGTTGTCATTATAGAAGTCCAACAAACATTGTCATTGTAATCTACATCATTCCCATATTTAATTTTAGGCATATCAAAATCACTGTCATTTAAAGTTGGTATTGCAAACGCATCATCATTCTCATTCTCATATTTAGTTGGTATTACAGGCATATAATCATTGTCATTCTCATTCTTATCTTCAGTTGGTATTACAGGCACATCATCATTCTCATTCTCATTCTCATTCTCATCTTCATATGGTATTATAAGCACATTAACATCATTCTGATTCTCATCTTCACTTGCTATTGCAGGCACATCAACATTATTCTCATTCTTATCTTCAGGTGGTATTGCATTTCCTACTTCAGGAATTGACACCACATATAATTTAATTAAGCAGAACATATGGTACATTTGGAATATATCAATCATATCCCTGTCAGTCTTCAATTCCTTAACAATCCTATCAATGTAAGACCTGTAGAATAGTTTACTTGTTCTATGAGGATAACCAAACAATCTTATCTTGTACTTAATTTCTATCATTGACATAAGATCACTATCTATACCTCATAGATCTCAACAGACCCACCAAAAAAATGGACTTAAATATATACTACCAAACAGACTACTATAATGCATTTCCAGTGTGTAAAACTTTTCAAAAGCGGGATTAAAACCTAAAACAAATAATTTTTAAATAAAACAAATATCATAAACCATCAAAACAAAATCAAAAGCAAACATGACACAAGTAAAAGAAATAGTCCTGACACAGTTCCACAAAAAAATTAGTATTTATAACTAATTTCAATAATAAATTACAAAAAATAAATTATGCAAAACATATATTATGAACAAAAAACTTAATTATAGATCACTGGACCAATACCCTATAAACAAACCCTAATTTTCGCTAGGACCATAGCCCTATAAACAAACCCTAATTTTGATTACAATAACATTAAACCTTAATATCGTACTCCCAAACAGTTGACATAACCCATCTTGAATCATACCCACCCAACAATAAGGACCCACATAAAAAATGAACGAATATAAAACTCTAAGTACTACAAAACAACGACAATGAGTCAAAGTTTGTCCACACCTGGCACCATTTTATCCAACAAATGTGACACAAACCACCTGGAATCCACCACGATCTTCTCCCAATGAGCGATTGCACACACACAATACTTGCTTTCAACGGTCGCACTCAACATGCACTCGCTTCCATACACTGCCCACATAAACACAAATACAACACAACACTTAGGGCACAAATCGTTTTATTAGAAAGAGTGTTTTATTTGAGAGGGAGTGTGTATCACCTCACACGACGTCGTTTCACACAAATGTCAAACTTGCCATTTAAAATCAACAATTTTACCTAATAAATAATTAATATATTAACAATGACATTACTATCATTTCGCAACAACTTAACGGTTCCGTCACAAAATGGGGTCAACGTGATAGTTTCTCTTACTTCAGGGAGTTGTTTGATAATTGAGGGGGTTATATGAAGAATTTGGAAATAACATAGGGGTTTTATGATTTTAACCCAAATTTTATATACAAATAGTGAAAAATTATTGTATGGTTCTCTAATTTTGTCACATCACATAGATTTTGTGATTTTTTTACATACACAGTGAAAATAGAATATTTGTTCCATTTACTAATTCTTAATTTTCAAATTCAAAATTTGTACACAACATTTACATCATTTATGGTTTTTAAGACACATACGTCGGGGGATTTTCAAAATTCAAGAGATTAGGAGAAAAGGCATTTGATGTGGACTTGGTTTGTTACACATTGAGAATCAATAAATAATTATAAAATAAAAAAAAATCAAGAATAATGCTTTCTTTTTTCTTTCTTTTTTTAGGTAAAAATAATGCTTCTTTTTTCGTAAGCTACTGAGTGACAACTCGGTCAAAATTCCCCTTATTATTAGGAAAAAGGAGAGCACCCTCAAACAGAGTTAAGTATCTTTATGTTGATCATTTGAATGCAATAGTAAATCTCGTCAGCGAATTTTATCGTGTTCAATTAACCTCATGCTACTTTTAAAAATAAAATATGCTTGATTTTTAACTTCCAATGACACTAACCAAGAGTTATAGTAAATTTTTTTATTTCACAACATTTACACAAAGAACCATTGTAGCGCTTTACAATTCCTATCTTTCGAAATCCAAGATCAAACCTGATAGTAGGTAGAGCTTACAATATTTTAAATGGCATTTTTTTGGAACTTCTTGTGCAATGATTTTTTATTATTATTTTTTTTCATAGCAAAATAATGTCAAGCCACGTGGAATTCGAAAGATGTATATTATAACTACATGCAAGCTGAAATTAGGGGTCAAAATTGGGTTGGGCTTTCGAGCCTACAAGGAAAGCTTTCTGGTTGGATCACACTGGTCCGTGGGCCATCAGATCATGGGTTCTTGTAAACAGCTATCACTACATTATTTTTCCACCAAAAAAAAATTTTCATATTAGTTTTATAAAAAATTTCATGTAATATAATAAATTTTTCACTTATTTATGAATGGATTCTCAATTTTCAAAAATGGCAACACTTCAAAAATGAAACGGTGTCAGTGTCGTTAACTTAGATAAGATCATAAGAGAATCAAGTATTATACGTACTTTAAACTATAAAAGCGTTATAAAATTACTGTAAGTAAAAAGCATGTTATGCGTTTGGTAATGTATTTTATAAAGCGATTTTTATATTTAAAGCACTTGTAAATTTGTTTGGTAACAATGTTGCTTAAAGCACTTTTACTACCGAATTTACTAATAGTATCCCTACCCTCTGTATATTTTGTTTTGGTTCTATTTAATATGAATTCTTGCTTACAAAAAAAAACATTAGCACTCGTATTTATGAAATTCAAATTGTATAGGATTCAAGATCGAAATTTAGTTTTACTAATTATTGCTTGTTTTTTTCATGAATATACTGATTGTAGCTTTATGATAGTTTTAATCAAAAGTAATAATTACCCGATTCAAGAAGTTGATCTAAAAAACATGTTGATATATATGGACAAGAAATAATATAAATATAGGTTTTGGATAAATGAAAAAAAATTGGATGATTATGGAACTAAACTCCACTAAACCTCTAATATAACTTGAATTTCTAATATATAGGTGAAACCTTAAAAGGAAGGACACTAAATTTCTAATATATAGGTTTCTTAAAGGGAAGGGTATAATAACAACAATACTAGCAAGTTCCCGTTTTTAGGCAACACAAATTGGTTTGCATAATATTTATATATTTTTTTTAACACTAGGGACAAAATTGTATTTATAAAAAGTAAAAAGGGATTAAATTGTCCAAAACAATATAATATCATAAAAAATCTACATCTACTTAAAAACACAATTTTAAAAGTTACAATTTGTAACTTTGTGAACGCGCTTTTTGGATGAAACCTCTATTATCTAACCGCACTTATTTTTGTCACCAAATGCATCTCACTGCAGTTTTCTAAAATTTAACATGCTATTGGAATTTTTTCTTTTTATTAATAAAATAGCAATTTGATATAAATATTAAGAAGAAATGATTAAAAATAATAATTGTTCCATTTTTATTCAAAATTTAGGTCGGATTTATCAAGTTTAAAGTTTCGATTTTCTTTAAGTGCAAGCAATTTATTGGGATCAAGTCCGAACGCCGAACTTTACCTTACCCATTAGAAGGGAATGCTTTGCACATTGTCCTGTAGATAAGTCGGGCAAAAGCACCTAATACCCTAGCAATATATCTATGTATATATATAGTTGGATTTGAGTGAGGCAAAATCAGAGTGTAAACGGAACTATTGGGCCAAAATTGGGCCCACAACACACACCTCCTTTATAACATACACACCGCCGCCTTTACATATAACATACACACCGCCGCCTTTACATACGCACCGCCTTTTCAGGTAACATATACACACACCGGCCTATAACATATAACATATACAGCCGGCCGCCGGTGCGAAACTATTCTGATCAATCTCTCTGTCTACAAGAAATTACACACACATACGCACACAAGAAACTATTTTGTGATAAATCTCTCTGTCTACAAGAAATTACAGACATACGCATACAAGAAACTATTTTGTGATCAATCTCTGTGTCTACAAGAAATTACAGAGACATACGCATACAAGAAACTATTTTGTGATCAATCTCTGTAGAGTTTCGAAGCATAGACATAGACATGGCAGTGATTTCCAAGAAAACCTATTTGGGTCATCGCATCAAAAGAAGAAAAACATCAGCATCATCAACACCACCGAATTGGTCTGGACTCCCCACTAACTTGTGGAAGTCAATCCTGAACAGATTGTCTGTGGTCGATTTGCTTAGCGCCGGAGCAGTGTGTCGTTCTTGGTGCTCTGTTGCAGAAGCCATAAAATCATCTCTAGAGAGTCTCCTATTTGATCAACCGTTGCTCTTGCTTCCTGGTCCAGATCATGGCAAAAAAAATAGCCCTTGCTTATACAATTTTACAGAGAAAAAAGTGTACAAGCAGATGATGAATATTCCAGAACACTTGGGTAATTGCAAAGGATCATCCCATGGGTGGCTGATTTTGTTGGACCAAGAAGCATTCCCCCATATCTTCAATCCATTCTTGGGGGCTAGGATTCAACTCCCTCTTTTTGAAGTTCGCAAAACAAGCCTTCATTGCTTCTTTGTCCGGGATATTAAGAAAGTTGTACTCTCATCAGACCCAATTCAGAGTAAGAACAACTACTGGGTAGGAGTAATATATGGTGTAATTGATCCCAAGCTTGCCTTTTGGAAGTATGGAGACAGTGAATGGACTGCCCTGGACGGTGCAGATCATGCCTACTGTGATATCATTTCTCACCATGATCATATTATTGCTTTGGGTGAAACAGCTTCAGTTGAAATCTGGGATTTCAATAATTCTGTCCCTGCAAAAAAGATGCAGATTGAGCCTATTTTTCCTGAGAAAAGGGTGGAATTTGAAAATTCTCTTGGAGATGATCTTTATACCATTCAAAGTTACATAGTGGAATCAAAGGGTGATCTGCTGCTTATTGTGAGGTATATTGGGAATCATGTTCGCTGGGACGGTGTAGTTGTTCATGAGGCAGACCTTCTTGATGAAGAGAACCAATGCTGTATTTGTTCTCACTTGACAAAGCTATTTCATGTTTACAAGCTGGATTTCAGTCAGAAAACATGGGAACAACTGGCATCAATAGGCGATGATCGCGTGCTATTTTGGGTCGGAATCAATCTGTGTCACATTCAGCAAAGGGTTTTCCATCTTGTAAAGGGAATTCGATTTACTTCACGGACAATTACTATTGTGATCATTTGGGTGAGAATGACATGTATGGGCATGACACGGGCAGGTTTGACATGGAGAATCAGAGTATAGAAGTGATTAATGAAGATGAAGATGATTGGCAGAAGATTCAACCAGCACCCATTTGGGTTGTTCCTAATCCATGCTACTAGAGACATCCAAAGATAGAATTTAGCAGAGTAGTTTCTTCCTATTTTTGTATTCTTATAGGCTACAAAATTGTGTATTAATAAATTTTTGAATTGCATATATATATTTTTTATTTTGATTTGATCAGTAAGAACGTAGTTTTTGATTTGTTGGTCCTTGTGAATCTGTTGATACTTGTATGTGAAAGTTTATACTACACTCTGATGGTCAATCAAAATGGCCCTCTTTTTGAAAGTTGTTCTGAACTAAATTAAAAGGAAAATTGTAAACCAAGGAAAGAAGCTTATTAAAATTATAACAGCCACACATACCAAAATCAAAATACTCTACCTCAAAATTCTCAGTACCCCATTCTTCCAAAAATTCCAAAATGGGATATGCTGCTGATCCAACTGTTATATACAACATCAGTGCAAGATTCTTTACCAGTCCACAAGCCTAATGTAACACCAGATGAAACACAAATGTACGTAGAAAAAGATGCAAATTATAACGCAGAATTCTATATTATGCAGCAAACTCACTTGTCCTTCAGGAGTTTCTGCAGGGCCCATCATTCCCCATTGGGAATTGTGCAACTGCCGTGGTTTTGCTAGTTTCCCTGGTAAATGCAATTTATAACACAGTTAAAGCTGAAGGTTAAGAAAAAATAAACAAGCAATGGAGTTGCAACATAGATGAAACTGTGTGTGTGTGTGAGAGAGAGAGAGAGAGCCCTTATGGGGAAATCTAGACCCTTAACAGCATCATTGAACAAACAATGACAGAGAAAACTAAAATACCTTCTCGCCCTATTGGAGAATTCAATCTTCACAAGTGTGACAAAGTGGAGCCATATGTTAGGCGATTTAACACCTATAGAAATCGGAGAACATTTTAAAAATGATACTGCACATTCACCGGCTGCATTTGCCTGTCCCCGGTTCCCAATAGCAAGTGAGTATTTAAGGCCACTAGTAATTGGTTTCGCTTTAATTGCAAATTGCAGATTAACATCCTTCCCATTGTCAACACTCTGCACGATGCACAAAATTATATACATTCAAGCACCAGCAAAAGCATCAAATATAAACTATATTAAAGACTCCGTATGTAAAATAACCTTCTGAGCATAAGCTCTCACATCCCTTGTTAACTTTCTGACTAGCTGCAGTAATATAAACAACCACCAAAACTTTAGAAACCCAAAATCTTTGAAAACCCAAATGAAAATCAAGGACTTTCAAATGGTCATAGAAGCTCCAAAATATTAAAGCAATCACAAACCATTCGAAAGAGGCCACCAAGCAAAGGACCAGCAAGATCGAGTCTCTTATTGCCATAGTGATCCCTATCATCCTCCGCCCTTCGTCCAATTGCACGTAGCAGAAGCTGGTGAATAATATATCTGGTAGAAAAGCAATTAATGTCTCTCTAAATCACTAAGAAGCCACAAAAAAGGAACATATCCAAATTAGACAAAACCTACCCAAAATAGTAAGCTTTCTTTGTCTCACAATACTCTCCTACACCAACATGAGGAAGCATTTCCTTTTGGAGGATCTCTTTGGCATACCTACGAAGTAAATGAACAGGAGACTCTCCTTAAACAAAAAAAGAAGCACAAAAGACAGCTTTACACTCGTGTATAGCAACAGCCAGCATTCATAACACATATTTAATCCTCTTTTCATTTGTGACACCAACAGTGGCCTCTCGTTTCCCGACGTAGTACAGTGCAACCTGCAATACGGGAAGAAAAGCATAACCATCTCAGTAAGGCCGCACTGCCACATCACCACAAGATTAGCGAGAAAAAAAAAAAAGAAAAGAGAGAGAAGAAATCAAATGGATGCTAACATTTACAATGAAACTGAATTTGCAATCTAGGAAACAAGAGCTGAAACCTAAACAAAGATATTGAAGCTGCTAAAAAATCAAATATGAATTAGAACCGAAAGGACATTACTTTTGAAAGGTAAAAACAATTTTAATGCCAGCAAGCCCGAAGATTATGTTTAGTTCATATTGGAAACATGAACTGCTATATTTATTCATATTGCTTGAAGTTTAGCTTATTCAATACAGAGCAAACCAGAAAGAAAAGCTAATCTCACACTAACTACCCGTTAAAAATAAAAAATAAAAAAACGATAACAGATAAAAAAAATTAAATGATGATATAATACAGTGGGAGAGTTACCTGTTGATTTTATATTACAAATGCTTCTTCCAAGGAGGGTCGTAGCAACTCCAAGAGTGTTAGAGAAATCATAGCAAATATGCTCAAATATATCTTTGTCAGCAACAAATCCTAATGCCCGAAGCACAATAATAATAGGAATCTCAGTCCAAATGTACGGAAGGGTAGGAGCCCTGCAGTTACATAACATACCCAAAAACAACAAAAAAAATTCATAAATTGCATAAGAATGCAAAAGGCAAAAAAAAAAAATAAATAAATAAAAAAAGTGCTCCAAAAAACACCCCTAAACACCATATTTAATGCCCATACCCCTTTGGCACTAGTCCGTGAAAGCATCCACACAAAAATGCTACTGGGTGGCCTGTTCTGGGAGTCCACCATTGATCGGACTTCTGCCACATAGGCATACTTGTTTGGCTTCCTCTTCTTAAACACAGATGTGATTGGTGCTCATCTTCTCCTAAGCAATTAGAACCTTTTCGCTCCCATTGTTAATGAAATACCCACCTTGATCATATCGACACTCTCCCAGATCCGTCAAATCTTTCTCTGAATTCTGATATAATGTGCAGTAGCTCGACCAGAGCATTATAGGAACCTAAAGTATATGGCAAAAAAGAAGCAGAAAGTCAATCCTGAAGGACAACAAAGAGGCATAAGAGCCTATTCCCAGATGTCAAACTTTCATCAGTTCGGAATCCAATTCACATACCTTCCCAACGAAGAATTTAGTAAAATCTTGAGTTTCAGTTACTTCTTCACCATCATGCCCTTTCTTTATCACTCTCTTAGTGACATCCACAAACAATGGAGCCGAGTATGTTAAGATTCCTCAATCTCGCTGCCTTCAGAAACAAAGTCACAGTTTCTCCATCTGACATCATTGGCTTACTAAGATATATCTGACCAAAGCATAGATGGTCTGCAAGACACCCATAATCATTATGACCAAGAAGCAAAGTTAGCCCATAAAGGAAATTCTATTTCTACTTTCAATCAAGCAATCAACAAAACTAATTTACTCTATGGATAGTATAACAATAATAATTTATTTCTCTTGTAACATTTAAAATCACATTTATTTTTAAAGAACAGAATACTAACAAAGTTTGTATATCTATTTATATAAAATGGTGACCCTAAATAGTTGGAAAAAATGCATTGTTAGGCATATTTATTATATAAAATACGTAGAACTTCCATTAATTTATAATGTGGAAGATGAGGCTTAAAGTCAGAAAGACAATTATATTAAATATACTACTACTATAATTTTACCATATTTTTGCCATTACAATTATATTTGTGGTGACCACGTATACCATAGAAAAAGGAAGGTTGAATAATTCGGGCATGTCATCTTGTTTTCAAAATTGTCTTATGTGATTCCTTTTAAAATGTATTTGTGCTACAAAAATCACTTGGGCAGTGCCTTAGCTGCACCGGCCAAGTGTATGACTTAATGTAATTTATTTGGAAATTATAGTCGAGGACAAGTTCAAACACGTGTCTAAAAGTGTCTAAAAATGTCACAAACATGGAAGCTCCATAGAATTGTCCGTGCTTCTTAGGCAAGAAGAACTCAGACCAACACAAAATTTGTTTTCATTTTTGCTTCCCATCAAACAATTACCGAATTTTATCTCCCACATACAATTGCATTAACTAACCAATAAATACAATAGATTCTGGTAAAACTTAAATTACAATTACAATCAAACAATGATGAATCTTTACATCCTTTGTCTCATAGGTTCATTAAAAGCAACCCAGGATTGCCAGTGTTACAGAACCATATAGTCATAAAACAACTAACCAATTATCTTAAGCAAAACCATAATTTCAGTTCAGCCAAACTAACAAAAAAAATATTAGGCTTTTCCAAGAACCACCCAGGAACACAGGAAAAACAAATTACAAAACCAACCACCTAAAGCTACTTCACACTAAAATCACAAAGATCTTCAATTTCCACCTTCAGTGAAACTATTAACATACGTTATCTTGACCAACCAACTAAAGCAACTAATCAATGACTATTTTATATCAGAAGTCCATCATTCAGTTAAACATTACAATTTTTTACCCAACTACTTCGGGCAGATTTTCAATTTCACTATATCTAAGGTAGTCTTGTTTGCCCTTGCCCAAACCACATTGATCGATGTAATGCACCCTGCACCTTCTATCACATTCATGGGTGTTCAATAAAGAAAATTATGTATTAATCTTTTATTGTTTTCCGTGTACCTTTAAATTGATCAATATATAACACAATCTCCTTTTCTATAATGCCTTTCTTCTTCTAGTCTATAATTTATTAGAAAATTGTTTGGCATAAGATATATTGACTCGATCAAATCTCACAATTATGGGGCTTCCACTTCTTTTATTCTGCAAGTAAATGAATACTAAAATAAAGAATCTCACTCTTATGGGTCTGCAAACATATAAATTTTGACAACTTCAAATATGTAACAAAGGTAGAAAACGTCAGCACTAAAAAAAAAAAAAAAAAAACAAAAACAAAAACAAAAACAAAAGTATACAACCTATCACCATCAACTGCTTTGCTTCAAGGGGGCTGCATAACAAATTTATTATGCTGATTTTGGTGTTTCCTTGGGGTGTCTTAACAATACCAGAGTCATCTTGGTTTATCATTACCAGTTAATGGAGAAGAATGTCCTTTTAAGACTTAATTAACTCAAATGATCAATTCATGAAAAAGCTAAATTTGAAAACTATTTAATAATGAGCTATGCTATGTAAACGGAAAAGACACACCGAATAAACTATGCCAATCCAATTCATTGGTCAAGTGGTGTCACCAGTGAAGTCTACTTCAACATTTGAAATGGTGGTTTAGGCTTTCTTAGCTTGGAAACACAAAACAGAGATGCAATTTTAAAACATACGTGGAAACTTGTGTCAAATACTCAGAACAAACTATGACTCAAACAAAATACTTAATCAGAAGGAGATATTTTGGGGATTTTAGCATACCTCAACAAAGCAGTTGATATGGAAAAAGCTACTTCAGCTGAGATCCTTAGCAATGCCCTTCTTAATCAAAAGCAGGGATAAAAATGGTTCAGAAACTCTCTTCCGGACTAACAATTGGCTGCAAGAAGGCCCTCTGTTCCTCAAATACAGCCACTTGCCAGCCCATCTTTCCTTGATTCCTCGCAACCATTTTACTCAGGTGATTCTTAGTGTTTCTTTTAAGTTGCATGTTAAAAGACCCTTGGCTATTCAAGTACTGCTTGAAGCTAGGTTACTTAATTAGCAGTGAGATCCTTCGGCAGCTTATAGCTTGATTGGCGCAGGGAAAGAAAGTAATGCATATAATCATTTAGACCAATATGAAACTATGGGCGGTATTGCAAAATGATGCACTAGCAGCGCGACCAATACCTAGTTCTTAATATATTTTTTCAGTGCGTGCACGAATGGCCACTTAAGAACTGAAACAGAATGGTGTAGCAAGGTCCCTTTGGATTGAGAATCAATGCTTAATCTCATAACCCCAAGAGTAGGTTTATAAACTCCATGGCCGCTCCCATTTACGTAGCTCTTCTTCTCTCCCTCCTTTTTGATAATGTTGTGCCTTCTCAATCCATTGATTTCCTCTACAACGGATTCAACCCAACAGACAAATATGGATTCTACCAAACAAACCTTATTCTAGTTGGATTTGCCACCATCATCCCACCAAGTGGAGCTCTTGAGCTTACTAACAAATCCTCTACTAATGTAAGAGGCCATGCATTCTATCCCCAACCAATACAAAAATGTATAGACTTGTTTAAAGATGCGAAAGTGCTTTTATTTCAGAATCTCATGAGCCATGATTTTTAGATAGTATATCCAAACATTAGCTTAAGTGCATCTCCTCCACCTCTCAAAAATGAGGTTGAGGGTTTAGGTCCAATTAAGACTAAGTGGGTGGTTTGTGTTACCTATCAAGAGAAAAAGAGAAAGAGATAGAGAAGAAGAAGAAGAAGAAGAAGAAGAAAATTCTGAGAGAGTACAACTCACTGTAACATCCGTGGGAGTAGCATCTCCTTCCTTCCCCACGTGAGCTGCAACTTTACCCACGATGCACTCAATAAGCTGCCCAATTGTCATTCGAGATGGGATAGCATGCGGATTCACAATAATGTCAGGGTGATGCCTTCGACAGTCCATGGCATGTCTTCTTGCATGTAAGTCATGCCGACTGTTCCCTTTTGACCATGCCTACTGCTAAACTTATTGCTGTTTTGAGGTATCCGAACAGATCTCACCCTTACTTTCATAAATCTCAACCCATCGGCATTTGTTGTTAGTAACACCTACAAAAGTACCATAAAATTAAGCCAAGAACAGAAAATTAATATAAAAAGAAGCCAAGATTCAGCATTGAAAGAAGAACAAACTTGATTTAATATTCTTTCTTGATAAAATTCATTGTATGGTCTATTAGCCTAAATGGAACATACAACAGCAGCCAAATTTGACAGGAAGAGAAAATTAAAGTAAGGCACACCTAATCCACCGTCCCAATGTCATTGTGGCGTAAGCTTGTGCTATGATCACACTTTGTGTAACGTGAAGCTTGTCCCTTAGCACCATCCTGAGCAATAGGAGTGGTCTTCCCGATAATTACATCCTCACCTGAAACTCTTGTTCCCTAATATAGAATGATAGCTCAATTTTAGAATATTTGAATCAAGCAGGAAAGAACGTGGAACCAAACAAATTTGCATAAACTCACAGGAGGGGCAAGACAATCGTCGTCCAATTTATCATAGGAACCATGTCGCATGCCCAGGAAAACAGTTCCTCAGAAAAATGCCAGTTTCACACAAGCTGGAGAGCACCAACAGTATACAAACTCAGCACTTACCATGGTATTAGCTCTATCGGGACGTCCAAAATCCTCTTTAACAAGTGTCCCCATCTTCTTCTCTTCATCCCTACAGAAAAGAAAATTATTAATGCAATATCTCTGATCCTTAAAGAGAAATTACAAACAAGCAAAGAAATTAACGTGCAAAAACATTATGGGAAAAGAAATATAAATTTAATTACCTATATGATCGGAAAAATAGTGACCGAAAGAATCCACGATCTACTGATGACTGGTTCACAACAACAGAATCTTCTTGGTTATATCCAGAGAAGCAGGCTATGGCAACAATGGCATTCTAAATCAGAAAGGAAGACACAGAAAAGATTGTCAGAACCATTACCAAAGTTATTGCTACAAAAGCAAGAACTTACAATGCCAGCAGGTAGCTGCCTAAAGTGCAAGTGCACCATGGCTCGAGTAGTAACAAGAGGCTTCTGAGGATAGTAGAGAACGTAGGCCAACGTGTCCTGAAAGATTTAGAGAATAATAAGTAATCCTAACTCGTCATAGAAGACAATATGCATAAGAAAAGCTCAAATTTAGAAGAAAAATAGAGAAAAAGGGAAAGAAGGGGAGCAAGACAATTTCATACCATACTTAATTGGTAGTTGGTGACATAAATTCCCATGGCTTGCTTACCCATAGCTGACTGATATGTATGACGTGGAGACTGAATGCAAAAATAACAAATAAGTACGATAGGGAAGAAAATATGTTTTCATCAGATAAAAGTCATCAGAATGATAAACTTACTTGGTTGTGGTCGGGAGATGGTATAATTGAAACACAAACACCCAATATCAACGATGGATGTATTTCACAATGGGTATAAGGTTCAGAATAAGTGGATTAAGCCTCGCACTTACAAGATCCTGGAGCAATTAACATTAACATTTAGTAAATGTTCCATTATATCTTGAAGAGACGGTTGATTAACACAATAATTCGAGACAGGTGTTTGAGCCAAACTGAAACTGTTTCTTGGATACTCACATTAATTGTCATGAAAATCATAGTAGTCTCTTCTGCCTCTGTGTCTCTATACATCCCTTTGCTACAAGATCATGCCAACCACCCTCTTCTGGGGTTTCCTGAAATAAAGATATACCTTTGGTATCATTGAGGATATACATTTTGCCAAAACATATGTCAATAACTTTAATTGAACATACCTTTTGTTGTAACACTTGGATATCTTTCTTTTTTATAAGAAGTCTTTGTTTCTCCACGATAAATAATGTTCGACTGCAACGGCCATATTCAGTGAAATCATACGGCAGCTTATAGCTGGATTGGCGTAAGGGAGAAAGTAATGCATATAATCCTTTAGACCAATATGCAACCATGGACGGTATTGCAAAAGGATGCACTAGCAGCGCGACCAAAACCTAGTTCATAATATATTTTTTTCAAAGCGCGCAGGAATGACCACTGAAGAACTGAAACAGGATGGTGTAGCAAGGTCCCTTTGGATTGAGAATCAATGCTTGATCTCATTGCCCCAAGAATAGGGTAAGTAACACTATTACACATATTTGAACTAGGCCAAAACAGGGTCAGATAACATGTGATAAAGGTCTTGAAGTACTGGAGTTTGAGAATACTAAGTTAAGCTTAAGCAAACCAGAAGCTAGAATAAATTTTAACCCACTTGAATTTGACCAGTATGCTCAACTTGGACGTCCTTGGCTTTGTAATGGAAGCAAATTTTGTAAGTGTTATTTATTATTATTATTATTATTTTTCCTCTCAGACATATTGTCGAACACCTATCCCACATTCCCATCCTCCAATCCCTTCGCCATCCACTTGGTTCCATATTATCTGTAACCCATTTTCCAATCCGAGGTGGAAGTTCATTCCACCTGTTTCCTCTCCGGATTTGCATTCCTTCGTAAATTGTCCTTCCCAAATCCCAATCCTCTGTTCTGAACAAAATTTGTGTCTTTATCAGGGCTAGAATTCTTTTGCTGAATCTGAAGGACTATGCTGCTGCAACAAGAGCTTGGATTGAATGGGACTTTCCTTCTTTTTGTTAGAGAAGTTCTTGGCATTTATGTGTTGACCATAAAACCGTAATCGCCCAGAGCAAAGCGGACAAAATCTACTGTCGTGACACATCAAGCCTCCACCTCGTCCTCCCCACAATCTTAATGGAGTCTCAGTTACAGCTTGAGGCTCTATTACCAGGTTTGAATCTGGTATTGCTGAGTGCCGTTATTTTATATACAACGGTTACTTTTATGTTTACTTTTAACTCTCTCCATTGGGCAGCCCATAAAAGAATTTCTTACACTTTGTAACCGTCTGGAGGGCTAACTACTGGTGGTTATGTTTGTGTTTGGAAAATGCTGGTATTGAGGTTCACATTTGTTACCCATTATTTGTCTCGCTCAAAAACACTAGCCCCTGGAGCTACTTACAAATTTTCTTCTGTACATATAGAGGAAGTGTGGAACATTTATAAATTAAAAAAATGTCATTGGTCAATCAGTTAAGGTGGCCTGTTCACATTAGGTTTCATGACTTTCATAAAAAATTTAATAAAATCTTAAAAGGAGACAATATTGTATTTTTCCAAAGTTCAGAACTTTATTGCTTAATTGTAAAGTAACAAGTTAGTAGTCAGTTTTTTATTTTTAGGAGGACTCTTTTCTCTCTAAAATAATAACTTTTATGGAATAACTCTACCCAATAGAAAAAGAAAATAGACTTAGCAAATTTTTTCTTTTTCTCCTTTCAATTCCGTTAAGGAAGTATTTTTATTTATTTTTATTTTTATTATTTTTTGTTTATACAATATGGGAGGACTTAGTAATTATGAATAGAGAAAGAGAAAAGAGCTAGAAAAAAAAAAAAAAAACATGTGAGTTTTCTGTCAAAAATTTTGTACTAATAGATAATTTTTTTATTTTTATTTTTTTCGTAATAGAAGGACTCCACTACTCTCACTCTTTTATATTCAAACGATTTTAGTAGAACTATTTATTTAGTTTTTTCATTATTAATACCTCTTTATTATAAGATATTTAATGTTATTTAAAACACTCAAACTTATAAAAGTCACGTATATTGCTCCTTGCACAGCAATTGAACGGAACTATATATATACATATATATTTACATACCCATTTTGTTTGAACTGAGAATGGGTTTCTACTATATATATATATATATATATATATATATATATATATATATATACAAATATACATAATTAGTTTTAGATATGTACACACACATAATTAGTTTTAGAATACCCATTTTGTTTGAACCCATAATGAGTTTGTAATATATATACATACAAATATACAAAATTAGTTTTAGATATGTACATACACATAATTACTTTTAGAATACCCATTTTGTATAAATCCATTCTGAGTTTATACAGTCACACACCCACATAATTAGTTTCCTATTGCAATTTGGATTTGGCCATGTATATACTAATTTGGAACTTTTATTAAACCTGTTTTAATTGTAAGCCATCTGTAATTTATTTTTTATTATAATCAATCAAATTTGTGTTTAATTGTTTTTAATTGTGTTGTGGACCTGTGGTTGATATATGTGGGTTTGTTACGGTCTGTATATGCGTGTGTGACTACTGGTGGTGGTGGCCATGGTGGTTGATGATTGTATATGTGTGTGATGGATATTTTGGTCACTTAACATGGATCATGTAGGGTTAGTTAAATTATTTTATACATTAAATAATTTTTTTATAAGTCAATACAAAGTCAAAAGGGTAATGATGTCTTTTTACATGCAAAAAGTGAACTGACACAAGTGAAAAGTAATTTTTGGAATATGAGTGAAAACAGACCAAGATTTGAAAAGGTGTTAATGAAAACAGACCAAACGTTTGTAACGTGAATAATAATAATTTTCGAAAAATACTTAAATATAATATTTGACCAAATCTGAAAAGGTGTTAATAAAATTAACCCAAATATTAATTTCACAACATTAACACAAAAGATTCATGGTAGCACATGACAACTCCAAAATTTTAGAAGTAAAATACGTTTGCTTTTTAACTTCCAATGACATTAACTAAATTATATATATTTTTTAATAATTTTACAACATTTACATAAAGACCCACCGTTGCAATTGGCCGTTCCTAGTTTACAATTTCTTTTAATGGCATTTTTTGGAACTTCTTGAGCAATGATGGTCAAGTGAAATTCAATGGATACAAAGTTAATTACGTGTATCACAGTATTCAACCAAAAAGAGCAGTGATACTTTGGCAGAAAGATTAGACCTATTTATTAGGGGAAATCTACATGACTTCTAATGTGACAGACTAATTGTCAAAGTTTTAAAAAGATTTCTTTAATTCTTTACAAGTTATTAATATATTATGTTTGTTGGGACACTGTACAAATTATTCCCCTCGCTTCAATTTCGGAAGAGAAGAGACTTGATCTCGGATCACTTATATTTCAGTTTTGTTGTAGAATTCTTGCTAGCATAACATTCTGTTCTATCCTCATCTCTTTTATCTATCTAAAGTAAATTCAATCCACCTATATCACTCTTAATTGCTAAGAAACAGAACTTTTTATTAGGGTTTTATTGTTTCCTTAGATCTATGGGGACTAAGAAAAATTTGAGTTTGAAGGTTGCATGTGGAGAAAAAACTCATGGTTTCCATGAAATTGATGGTTTTTTTTATTTGAAAAAGTAAAGTAATTTTATGATATTTTAAAAAAGAAAATTAAAAACAAATATTTATAAGTTATACCCAATAAAAAACAAAAGCTCCCAATCAACTCCTACCATGTTTGTATCTCTAATCTATGTTTTCTTCTTCCATACAATAAAAAACAAAAGCTCCCAATCCACCTATATCACTCTTTGTTTTTGGAAAAGTCAAAGTACAATTTTTTTTTTCTTTAAGCAACATTATCAATTTAACTTTCTTGAATTAAAAAAGTACACTATTATAGATAAATTTGATAATTCATTCACTACTATTAAAAAAAAAAAAAAAAATCAACTTTTCTTGACTATTTGTATAAAGTGTACCATCTACATCTTGCCTCAGTGATTATCTATAGTTCATCATTATAAATCTATAAATAATTATAAATCTATAAATAATTATAAAAATCTATAAATAATTAAAAAAAAAAAAAAAAATCAAGAATAGTGCTTTATAAGCTAGTGAGTGACAACGGTCAAAATTTTCCTTATTATTAGAGAAAATGAGAGTACTCTCGGACAGAATTAAGTGTGTCTATGTTGATCATTTGAATGCAGTAGCAAATAATTTTAACGTGTTTAATTAACCTCGTACTACTTTTAAAAATAAAATATGCTTAGTTTTTAACTTGACACTAACTAAAGTTATAGTAAAATTTTAATTTCACAACATCGACATAAAGACCAATTGTAGCACTTGACAATTCATAGCTTTTGGAATCAAGGTTCGAACCCAGTAATAGAATTTACAATTTATTAAATGGCATTTTTTTGGAACTTGTGTAATGATTTTTTATTATTATTATTATTTTTCAAATCAAATAATGTCATGTGGAATTTGAAAGATATATATAGTCACGACAAACACACTAAAATTAGGGGTCACAAGTAGAGGGGCTTTCGAGCGTACGAGGAAAAGCTTTCAGGTCGGATCACGTTGGTCTTATGGGGCATTAGATAATGGGTTTTTGTATATAGCTAACACTAAATTATTTTTCTAACAAAAAAAAGAAAAAAAAATTATTAGTTTTAACATATTTTTCACGTGATATCACAAAATTTGCACTTATTTATGTATGCTTTCTCAATTTTAAAAAATGGCAACACTTCAAAAGTGAATAACTTAGATAAGATCATAAGAAAATCAAGTATAATAAGTACCTTTTTTTGAAGATTTTTTTATTTTTTTATGGCGATATAGTACCTAATATGTTATTATTGTATATTGTATATCTACACATGTTATTATTGTATATTATATATCTATATGCATTATAGATTTTGAAAACGTCAATTTTATTGACTCGTTTTTATTTTAAAATTTTCCATAAAATATACTCTTTGTAAAAAAAATGTATTGTGCACTTGTTTTATATGAATTAGGTACAATGTAGCATGGTTAACATCTTACTTGATAGTTATTCACAGTGAATTTCTAAAATTTAGCAATGTTGTTGGAATTTTTTCTTTTTATTAATAAATTAGCAATTCGATATAAATATTAACATGAAATGATTAAAATAATAATTATTCAATTTTTATTCAAAAATTCGGTTGGATTTAATCCCATGGATTGACTTGAGTGATCAGTCATTTTGGCTTGATGCCTCGTTAAGTGAAATTCAATGCATGCGTTAATTATGTGTATCACAATATTCAACCAAAAAATGTATTTCATTATCCTAGAAGTTTTTATGGCCAATGCTGCACAAGATATAATAAATATGTGTAATACTTATATATTTCGAGTATTTACCTAATATATGGTGCATAAAAAAAACTCTTGGACAAGGGAAAAATTACATCAAATTTTTTATTTTGAGTGATAATTCATTATGTTTTAAGGTTTGACTCCTTTACTAGAGTGCAAGCAATTTCTTAGAGTCACACGTATAGGTGAAAAATCTCAACTTTACCCGACGTATTTGGAAGGTTCGCTTCGGAGAATAGTCGGGCAAAAGTCCCACATACCTCAGTTTCCATATATATATATATTGCGGTAGATTGTCTAATTGCAAGCAAACTGACCTACAGGGCCAAAATTGGGCGATGCTTCGAGTGTTACGCCTTAGCTTGTTCATTTATCATTTGGGCTCATCTCGTTTGAATTTATCTTTTGCTTATTATGAGGTGTACTGGGAATCATGTTCACTGGGAAGGTGTAGTTGTTCTCGATGCAGATTTTCTTGATGAAGAGAACCTCACATGACAAAACTATTTAATGTTTACAAGTTCGATTTTAGTCACAAAAAATGGATAGAACTTGATGATGCGGTATTGTTTTTGGAAAAGTCAAACTACAATTTTTTTTTTTTTTTTTTTTAACATTACCAATTTAACTTTCTTAAATTGAACTTATGAAAAGTACACCATTGCAAAAAATTTGATCATTCATTCATTACTAATACAAAAAATAATAATAATAATAATAATAAATAAAAAATTACTAAAACTTGTCATTTTTAAAATATATATTTTTAAAATGAGACATTTATTTTGAGAGGGAGAGAGTATATTTTAAAATAAAAAATAAAAAATAAAAAAAATCAACTTTTCTTGACTATTTGTATAGATAATGAATAATATTTGAACATATCTTAGTGTACCATGTAACATGCTTACCATCTTTCCTGAGGGTTAATTTGGTTAGCGTCAACTAGTTAGAAAGGAAAAGAAACAGAAATTTTTTACTAGTTGATTTTCTTTAAAATGTTTTCTTTCTAAAATAGGCGAAAATTTGTCAAAGTTGTATCATCATATGTTAATTTTCAATTCTACCCTCGGTAGTTATTTCTCTTCTTTTTTTAGACTCAGGAGTGACTTCTTTTTGATAAATTAGGACTCCTACTTATATTATAACTTTCTAACTCTTTAAATTATGACTCCTAATTAAGTTACAATTTTCTAACTTTTTAAATTAGGACTCTGTATATATATATATATATATATATATATAGATATAGATATAGATATATGCATGCACATATATTTTTATTCATAAAATAATTAACTATAATTCATTTTGTTAAATGTAGCGCATTAAGAATAATAAAAATTATAAATCTATATATAATTATAAATATAAAAAAATCAAGAATAGTGCTTTATAAGCTAGTGAGTGCCAACTGTCAAAATTTCCTTATGTTAGAGAAAATGAGAGTACTCTCAGACAGAATTAAGTGTCTCTATGTTGATCATTTGAATGCAATAACAAATAATTTAATGTGTTCAATTAACCTTGTACTACTTTTAAAAACAAAATACGTTTGGTTTTTAACTTCCAATGACACTACCTAAAGTTGTAATAAAAGTTTTAAGAGCAGTGATAGAGAACTCGAATATTTCTACCGAAATAATCACTGAATCTTACGTGACTTTATTCACGTCAAATAATTTTATTACCTAACTCTTTATTATCGATTTTTTCTCTCCCAGTTTTTCCTTTTTCTCTCTTCCTCTTATTTTCTCTCCCTTCTCCGTGTCTGGTTCTTCATCAATTCTTCTTATACATCCCTTCTCTTGATATACACATATTCAAAATATTTTAGAGATAAGATCCAAAATTCTTTATCCTCGCTCCTTTTTCAAGATCACCTATTTTTCTTTATTCATAAATCTTCAAAAAATAAATCTTTCCAATCCCAAATAAAAAATATACCGAAGAATTTTTTTTTTGGTAAGTAAATATCCACACAAGAGTTGCCATTACAAAATACATTAATCTCTTACAAAAAAAGAAAAAAAAGAAACCGATGAATCTTCTCAAAATTTCTATTTGATTTTTATGAATACAAAATCTGAATAAGAGAAATTGTAGCTTTTATTTTCTTTTTCTTTTTTGTTCTATTTTGGTTTTGTGTTTTTATATTTGCAAAACATGAAGAAATTTAATTTTTTTATTTATTTTATCTCCAATTTTACGAAATCAAAAGAAGAGACAAAATCAAAATCAAAGATAATATTGAATATAGAAGAAAGAAGAAAAATCGAGAATTAGAGGAAGAGAGAAGAGAGAAGGAAAGAGGTAGGAAGAGAGGAGGGAGAAGAAAAGAGGTAGGAGTTATGTTTTTAGAAAATAATCTAACGTAGCTCAGCCACGTTAAATTCGACCTTTTATTCAGTTGTTTGGCTCGGCTCACTTATCATTTTCCAAATTTTAATTTCACAACATCGACATAATGTCCCATTGTAGCACTTGACAAAGTAAAATTTACAATTTATTAAATGGCATTTTTTTGGAACTTGTGTAATGATTTATTATTATTTTTCAAATCAGATAATGTCATGTGGAAATTGAAAGATGTATATAGTCACCACCAACATGCAAAAATTAGGGGTCAAAATTAGAGGGGCTGTCGAGCCTATAAGAAAAAGCTTCCAGTTGGATCACAATGGTCTTACAGGCCATCGGATAATGGGTTTTTTTGCATATACCTAACACTAATTTATTTTTCTACCCAAAAAAAAAGAAGAAATTATTAACTTTAATATATTTTTCATGTAATATCATAAAATTTCTACTTATTTATGAATGCTTTCAATTTTAAAAAATGGCAACACTTCAAAAGTGAAAAACTTAGATAAGATAATACGGGAATCAAGTATAATAAGTACCTGTTTTGAAGATTTTTTTTTTTTTTTTTTTTGAATGCAATAGAGTATCTAATAATTCTAGCTGAAAGCCAAAACCCCTCTACATATTGTATATTATATATCTATATGTATTAGAGATTTTGAAAACGTCGATTTTATTGGCTCGTTTTTATTTTAAAATTTTCCATAAAATATAGACTGTTCGTAAAAAAATGTATTGTGCACTTGTTTGATATGAATTAGGTACAATGTAGCATGATTAACATCGTACTTGATGGTTATTCACAGTGAATTTCTAAAATTTAGCAATGTTGTTGGAATTTTTTCTTTTTATTAATAAATTAGCAATTCGATATAAATATTAACATGAAATGATTAAAATAATAATTATTCAATTTTTATTCAAAAATTCGGTTGGATTTAATCCCATAGGTCGACTTGAGTGATCAGTCATTTTGACTTGGTGCTTCGTTAAGTATTAAGTTTAAGTTTCAACCCCCTTTGAGTACAAGCTATTCTTTGGGATCAAGTCCGAATGCCCGAACTTTACCCTATCCATATGAAGGGAATGCTTTGCACAGTATCCCGTGGAAACCCTAGCAATAAATATATACGGAGTATATATATATATATATATATATATATATATATATATATATATTAGTTGAATGTGAGTGGGGCATAATCAGATGAGTAGGGTAAATAGAACTATTGGGCCAAAATTGGGCCCACAACACACACCGCCTTTTAACACACACACACACATACACACACCCCGGCTTTTAAGTTTTAACGTATGCACACTCAATATGCGCACACAACTTTAGTTTCCTATTTTGATCATCTCTGCAGTTTCCTATTTTGATCATCCCGCATATATATATATATATATATATAGAGAGAGAGAGAGAGAGAGAGAGACTCTATTGTTAACAGAAACAAACCCTCAACTCTACCATTTCAAGCCTTATACACAGACATGGCAGTGATTTCCAAAAAGCCATGAAAAGAAGAAAAACATCGCGTGAATCAGATTCATTACCGCCATCACCAAATTGGTCTGGACTTCCAATTGAATTGTGGGAGAAAATTCTGAACCGATTGTCCGTCGGCGACCTGCTTAGTGCCGGCGCGGTCTGTCGTTCTTGGTGCTCTGTTGCAGAAGTCCGGATATCATCACTAGTGAGTCCACTTCTTGATCAACCACTGGTCTTGCTTCCTGGCAAAAAAAATAGCCGCTGCTTATACAATTTTACCGAGAAAAAGTTCAAGAAGCAGATGATGAATATTCCACAAGACTTGGCTAATTGCAAATGATCATCACATGTTTTTTGGACGAAGAAGCATTCCCATATATCTTCAATCCATTCTTAGGGGCTCGGATTCAACTTCCACTTTTTTGGGTTGATTGCAAAACAAGCCGTGATTGCTTCTTTGTCAGGGAAATCAAGAAAGTTGTATTGACATCGGACCCAATTCACAGTAAGAAAAACTTTTGGGTTGTAGTAATTTATGGTGATTCAAAGCTTGCCTTTTGGAAGTGTGGAGATGGTCAATGGACTGCCCTCCATGGTGCACATCAAGCCTACTGTGACATCATATCCCACAATAATCATATTATTGCTTTGGGTGAAACAGGTTCAGTTGAAATATGGGATTTCAATGATTCTGCCCCTGTAAAAAAGATGGACATTCAGCCTATTTTTCCTGAGAAAAAGGTGGAATTTGAAAATTCTCTTGGAGATGATCTTTATACAATTCAGAGTTACGTGGTGGAATCAAATGGTGAACTTATGCTTATTATGAGGTATATTGGGAATCATGTTCGTTGGGACGGTGTAGCCGTTCATGAGGCAGATCTTCTTGACGAAGAGAACCAATGCTGGATTTGTCCTCACTTGACCAAGCAATTTCATGTTTACAAGCTAGATTTCAGTCCCAAAAAATGGGTAGAACTGGAAGCATTAGGCGATGATCGCGTGCTGTTTTTGGGTCGGAATCAATCCGTGTCATATTCAGTAAATGGTTTTCCATTCTGTAAAGGGAATTCGATTTATTTCACGGACAATTACTATTGTGATCATTTGGGTGAGAATGACATGTATGGGCATGACACGGGCAGGTTTGACATGGAGAATCAGAGTATAGAAGTGATTAATGAAGATGAAGATGATTAGCATAAGATTCAACCAGCACCCATTTGGGTTGTTCCTAATCCATGCTAGTAGAGACATCTAAGATATGATTTAGCAGAGTTGTTTCTTCCTATTTTTGTATTCTTATGGGCTTACAATTTTGTGCATTAATACTGAAGGTAAATTGCATATTTGTTATCAGTAACAAAGTAGTTTTTGATTTGTTGGTCCTCGCAATGAATGATACCATTTATCTTCAAGCTTATACTACTGTCTAATGGTCAATCTGTGCTTGAAAATGGCCCTCTTTTTGAAAGTTGTTCCGACTGACAATCCCAAAAGACCCAAAAACAACAACAAAAAAATAAATAAATAAAAATTGAAAACAGGCTCAAGTGGTAGAAGCAAAAAAAGGACTGAAATTGTACAGTTTAATGCGCCCTGCACCTTCTATCATATTCAAACAAAACAGGTTTAACTCTTCATGGGTGTACAATAAAGGAAATTCTATATTTATCTTTTATTGTTTACCATTTACCAATAAATTGATCCATATATAACACAATCTTCTCTTCTATGATGCCTTTCTTCTAATCTATAATTTATTAAAAAAATTGTTTGGCATATGATATACTTACTCGATCAAATCATATAAAATTTGACAACGTCAAGCATGTAACAGAGTTTAAAATGAAGATGGCAACTGGTGTGAGGGAGAAGCTCAAATTTGTGATGTTCCAGTGGTGTAGTGACTTGGATGTTTTTGTTAGTCATGTTCCTACATCTATGACAGATTAAGAAAATACACAATTAGTTCAAGAAGGGACTAAAGAAGAGGTAAAAAAAACTGCTCCTGGACCCTATGAAAGCCCGTGGTTCTCATGGATTAATTATCAAAAAAATTGGAAATATATTTCCCAATACAGAACAAGATATAAATATGTGTATATACTTCGAGTATTTACCTAATATATGGTGCATAAAAAACTCTTGGACCAGGGAGAAATCACATTAATAAAATTTCTGGCTTTGACAAGTATTCACCTAATGTGTGTGTGATATATATATACTTCGAGTATTTACCTAAGATTTTTTCTACGAGTTTAGCCAATCGATTAAAACCACTCTTAGATAAGGTAATCAGAGAGCAATAGGGAGCTTTTGTTCCTCAAAGGATGATTAGTGATAACATTTTAATTGCTAATGAGTTGATTCATTTTCTCAAGAACAAAGAGAATCAGAAAGAGTCCTATATGGTACTAAAGTTAGAACTGGAAGAGTACAACTAATACAATCAGTCCTAGTGAGCATGCAGTTCTACTGGTCTAGTCAATTCCTATGGTGGTTTAGTGGCTTGGAAATCTAAAAGTCACCGCAAAATAATATGGTGGTTTAGGTTTTCTTAGCTCGGAAACACAAAAGTTTGTAATATATGTTGATACATGTATCTGAAAGTTTATACTACACTCTGATGGTCAATCTGTTCTTGAAAATGGTCCTCTTTTTCAAAGTTGTTCTGACAAGACTGAAAAAAATTGAAGTGGTAGAAGCAAAAAAGGAGTGTAGTGTACAATTTAATGCATCCTGCACCTTCTATCACATTCATGGGTGTTCAATAAAGAAAATTATGTATTAATCTTTTATTGTTTTCCATTTACCATTAAATTGATCCATATATAACACAATCTCCTTTTCTATAATGCCTTTCTTCTAGTCTATAATTTATTAGAAAGTTGTTTGGCATAAGATATATTGACTCGATCAAACCTCACAATTATGGGGCTGCAAACATACAAATTTTAACAACTTCCAGAATGTAACAGAGTTAGAAAAAAGTCACCATTAAAAAAAAAAGAAAAAGGAATCAACGTATCACCAACAACTGTTTTGCTTCAAGAGGGCTGCATAACAATCTTAGTCAAAACAAATTTATTCTTCTGATTTCGGTGTTGCCTTCGAGTGTCTTAACAATACCAGAGTCATCCTGGTCAGTAATTACCAGCTAATGGAGAGGAATGTCCTTTAAGGACTTAATTAACTCATATGATCGGTTCACGATAAAGCTAAATTTGAAAACTATTTGATCATGAGCTATTCTATGTAAATGGAAAATACACACTGAATAAACTACACCAATCCAATTCATTGGTCAAGTTAAATTTGAAAACTATTATATATAACGAAAGAAAGAACACAGCTAACGCTAAAAGGAGTCATGTGGTCTTAACAGCAAAAGCATTGGCAGGTTATAACTATATCATTAGAAGTGGAAAAATTCACAAAAGATTTGAATAGGATCTTATGTGAACATCTAGAACATGTTTGTGCATACCCGTCTCCTCAGCCGTCTCAGGGTTTCCACCAACATGTCAGGACCACGATGAATGCCAACCCAACAACCATTAACAAATATTTTGGTAGCCCGTAGAATCACTGCAGGAGAGATTTCCTAAATTAAAAGGAAAATTGTAAAACAGGGAAAGAAGCTAATGAAAATTATAACATCCACACGTACAAAAGTCAAAAATCTCACCTCAAAATTCTCAGTACCCCGTTCTTCCAAAAATTCCAAAATGGGATATGCTGCTGATCCAACTGTTATATACACCATCAGTGCAAGATTCTTTACCAGTCCACAAGCCTAATGTAACACCAGATGACATACAAATGTAAGTAGAAAAAGATGCAAATTATAACGCAGAGTTCTATATTATGCAGCAAACTCACTTGTCCTTCAGGAGTTTCTGCAGGGCACATCATTCCCCATTGGGAATTGTGCAACTGCCATGGTTTTGCTAGTTTCCCTGGTAAATGCAATTTATAACACAGTTAAAGCTGAAGGTTAAGAAAAAATAAACAACCAATGGAGTTGCAACATAGATGAAACTGTGTGTGTGTGTGTGTGAGAGAGAGAGAGAGCCCTTATGGGGAAATCTAGACCCTTAACAGCATCATTGAACAAACAATGACAGAGAAAACTAAAATACCTTCTCGCCCTATTGGAGAATTCAATCTTCACAAGTGTGACAAAGTGGAGCCATATGTTAGGCGATTTAACACCTATAGAAATCGGAGAACAATTTAAAAATCATACTGCACATTCACCGGCTGCATTTGCCCGTCCCCGGTTCCCAATAGCAAGTGAGTATTTAAGGCCACTAGTAATTGGTTTCGCTTTAATTGCAAATTGCAGATTAACACCCTTCCCATTGTCAACACTCTGCACGATGCACAAAATTATATACATTCAAGCACCAGCAAAAGCATCAAATATAAACTATATTAAAGACTCCGTATGTAAAATAACCTTCTGAGCATAATGTTACGATCCGATTCCTAACGACGCCATGAGCATAGAAGATACGCATGCTGGTTGGCTAAGAACATTCATTGACTGGGAATGGTTCCAGGGAAGGGGCGTGCAGGACCACAGGATGGTACCTCTTCAGAGTTCAGGCAGGTCGACTCGGTTCAGTTCGAGGTGCTTGTCGCTAGTCTTGGACTTGACTATGAAGAAGGGAGTTGGCCATCCCTGCACAAACTGGTCGGGAGCTGGAGCCGTTCCCCTGACGAGGCCATGGCAGGCCGAAACCAGTCAGCATGTATCCTTGGGAGGGCAGGTCGTGGTGGCTGACCAGGGCGCTTGCGCGAGCTGAAGTAACGCCTTGGTGCCGCACGGGCCGTGCCGCTGCGCCAAATCTCTAGGCCCGTGACAAATGGTATCAGAGCAGGACTTGGGGAAAAGCACAGAGGTGTGCCCTCTTGTCGATCCGGGGGTCTTGAGAATGAAGACGGTGCACTGAAAAAGCGTCGGTGGGTAATCAATGCTGTTGGAGGAGAGCCTCCATCTCCCCATGAAGATGCGTCCTTTAAGCCGGAGGGCCGCGCGCATCGGATGGCCGGAGGGCCGCGCGCACCAAAGTTCTTGCAAGTTCAAGAGGCGTGCAAACCGTTGTGAAGGGCGGGTATCAAGTCAGCCGGAGGGCGCTTGTTTGCTCGGGGTGTCGCGGAGGCGGCATAACGTGGGGTTGCGTCCCGAAGAAGTGGGCGTCCCTTTAGCCCGAAACCCTATCATTGGGCGAGTGCAGCCAGGGGTTGTACAAGGAAGCGATGGTGGGCAGGCGAGCATACCACTTGGAGGAGACAGGCTTTGGAATGTTGGACGTAGCGGAGTCAGCGCCGCACTGCGACGAGGGCGTCGCAGGATTTGGGTGGGGGAGAATGTTACGATCCGATTCCTAACGACGCCATGAGCATAGAAGATACGCATGCTGGTTGGCTAAGAACATTCATTGACTGGGAATGGTTCCAGGGAAGGGGCGTGCAGGACCACAGGATGGTACCTCTTCAGAGTTCAGGCAGGTCGACTCGGTTCAGTTCGAGGTGCTTGTCGCTAGTCTTGGACTTGACTATGAAGAAGGGAGTTGGCCATCCCTGCACAAACTGGTCGGGAGCTGGAGCTGTTCCCCTGACGAGGCCATGGTAAGCCGAAACCAGTCAGCATGTATCCTTGGGAGGGCAGGTCGTGGTGGCTGACCAGGGCGCTTGCGCGGGCTGAAGTAACGCCTTGGTGCCGCACGGGCCGTGCCGCTGCGCCAAATCTCTAGGCCCGTGACAAATGGTGTCAGAGCAGGACTTGGGGAAAAGCACAGAGGTGTGCCCCCTTGTCGATCCGGGGGTCTTGAGAATGAAGACGGTGCACTGAAAAAGCGTCGGTGGGTAATCAATGCTGTTGGAGGAGAGCCTCCATCTCCCCATGAAGATGCGTCCTTTAAGCCGGAGGGCCGCGCGCATCGGATGGCCGGAGGGCCGCGCGCACCAAAGTTCTTACAAGTTCAAGAGGCGTGCAAACCATTGTGAAGGGCGGGTATCAAGTCAGCCGGAGGGCGCTTGTTTGCTCGGGGTGTCGCGGAGGCGGCATAACGTGGGGTTGCGTCCCGAAGAAGTGGGCGTCCCTTTAGCCCGAAACCCTATCATTGGGCGAGTGCAGCCAGGGGTTGTACAAGGAAGCGATGGTGGGCAGGCGAGCATACCACTTGGAGGAGACAGGCTTTGGAATGTTGGACGTAGCGGAGTCAGCGCCGCACTGCGACGAGGGCGTCACAGGATTTGGGTGGGGGAGAATGTCACGATCCAATTCCTAACGACGCCATGAGCATAGAAGATACGCATGCTGGTTGGCTAAGAACATTCATTGACTGGGAATGGTTCCAGGGAAGGGGCGTGCAGGACCACAGGATGGTACCTCGTCAGAGTTCAGGCAGGTCGACTCGGTTCAGTTCGAGGTGCTTGTCGCTAGTCTTGGACTTGACTATGAAGAAGGGAGTTGGCCATCCCTGCGCAAACTGGTCGGGAGCTGGAGCCGATCCCCTGACGAGGCCATGGCAGGCCGAAACCAATCAGCATGTATCCTTAGGAGGGCAGGTCGTGGTGGCTGACCAGGGCGCTTGCGCGAGCTGAAGCAACGCCTTGGTGCCGTACGGGCCGTGCTGCTGCGCCGAATCTCTAGGCCCGTGACAAATGGTGTCAGAGCAGGACTTGGGGAAAAGCACAGAGGTGTGCCCCCTTGTCGATCCGGGGGTCTTGAGAATGAAGACGGTGCACTGAAAAAGCGTCGGTGGGTAATCAATGCTGTTGGAGGAGAACCTCCATCTCCCCATGAAGATGCATCCTTTAAGCCGGAGGGCCGCGCGCATCGGATGGCCGGAGGGCCGCGCGCACCAAAGTTCTTGCAAGTTCAAGAGGCGTGCAAACCGTTGTGAAGGGCGGGTATCAAGTCAGCCGGAGGGCGCTTGTTTGCTCGGGGTGTCGCCGAGGCGGCATAACGTGGGGTTGCGTCCCAAAGAAGTGGGCGTCCCTTTAGCCCGAAACCCTATCATTGGGCGAGTGCAGCCAGGGGTTGTACAAGGAAGCGATGGTGGGCAGGCGAGCATACCACTTGGAGGAGACAGGCTTTGGAATGTTGGACGTAGCGGAGTCAGCGCCGCACTGCGACGAGGGCGTCGCAGGATTTGGGTGGGGGAGAATGTTACGATCTGATTCCTAACGACGCCATGAGCATAGAAGATACGCATGCTGGTTGGCTAAGAACATTCATTGACTGGGAATGGTTCCAGGGAAGGGGCGTGCAGGACCACAGGATGGTACCTCTTCAGAGTTCAGGCAGGTCGACTCGGTTCAGTTCGAGGTGCTTGTCGCTAGTCTTGGACTTGACTATGAAGAAGGGAGTTGGCCATCCCTGCACAAACTGGCCGAGAGCTGGAGCCGTTCCCCTGACGAGGCCATGGCAGGCCGAAACCAGTCAGCATGTATCCTTGGGAGGGCAGGTCGTGGTGGCTGACCAGGGCGCTTGCGCGAGCTGAAGTAACGCCTTGGTGCCGCACGGGCCGTGCCGCTGCGCCAAATCTCTAGGCCCGTGACAATAAGCTCTCACATCCCTTGTTAACTTTCTGACTAGCTGCAGTAATATAAACAACCACCAAAACTTTAGAAACCCAAAATCATTGAAAACCCAAATGAAAATCAAGGACTTTCAAATGGTCATAGAAGCTCCAAAATATTAAAGCAATGACAAACCATTCGAAAGAGGCCACCAAGCAAAAGACCAGTAAGATCGAGTCTCTTATTGCCATAGTGATCCCTATCATCCTCTGCCCTTCGTCCAATTGCACATAGCAGAAGCCGGTGAATAATATATCTAAAGCAATTAGTGTCTCTCTAAATCACTAAGAAGCCACAAAAAAGGAACATATTCAAATTAGACGAAACCTACCCAAAATAGTAAGCTTTCTTTGTCTCACAATATTCTCCTACACCAACATGAGGAAGCATTTCCTTTTGGAGGATCTCTTTGGCATACCTATGAAGTAAATGAACAGGAGACTCTTCTTAAATAAAAAAAGAAGCACAAAAGATAGCTTTACACTCGAGTATAGCAACAGCCAGCAATCATAACACATACTTGATCCTCTTTTCATTTGTGACACCGACAGGGGCCCCTCGTTTCCCGATGTAGTCCAGTGCAACCTGCAATACAGGAAGAAAAGCATAACCATCTCAGTAAGGCCACAATGCCACATCACCACAAGAAAAGCGAGAAAGAAAAAAAAAAGAGAGAGAGAGAAGAAATCAAATGGATGCTAACATTTACAATAACATATACAGATTAAGTCCCAAAATTAATTAATTTATATAAATGACACTGAATTTGCAATCTAGGAAACAAGAGCTGAAACCTAAACAAATATATTGAAGCTGCTAAAAAATCAAATATGAATTAGAACTGAAAGGACATTACTTTTGAAAGGGAAAAACAATTTAAATGCCAGCAAGCCCGAAGATTATGTTTAGTTCATATTGGAAACATGAACCGCTATATTTAATTCATATTGCTTGAAGTTTAGCTTATTCAATACAGAGCAAACCAGAAAGAAAAGCTAATCTCACACTAACTGCCCGTTGAAAAAAAAAAAAAAAAGGATAACAGATATAAAAATTTAAATGATGATATAATACAGTGGGAGAGTTACCTGTTGATTTTATACTACAAATGCTTCTTCCAAGGAGGGTGAGTGTCAAAGAAATCATAGCAAATATGTTCTAATATATCTTTGTCAGCAACAAATCCTAATGCCCGAAACACAATTATAATAGGAATCTCAGTCCGAATATATGGAAGGGTAGGAACCCTGCAGTTACATAACATACCCAAAAACAACAACAAAAAATTCATAAATTCCATAAGAATTCAAAGGGGATAAAAAAAAAAAAAACAAAACAAAACAAAAAAACAAAACAAAAGAGTGCTCCAAAAAATACCCCTAAACACCATATTTAATGCCCATTACCCCTTTGGCACAATTCTGTGAAAGCATCCACACAAACATGCTACTGCGTGGCCTGTTCTGGGAGTCCACCATTGATCGGACTTCCGCCACATAGGCATACTTGTTTGGCTGCCTCTTCTTAAACACAGACTTGATTGGTGCTCACCTTCTACTAAGCAATTAGAACCTTTTCACTCCCATTGATAATAAAATACCCACCTTGATCATATGGACACTCTCCCAGCTCCGTCAAAACCTTCTCTGAATTCTGATATAATGTGCAGTAACTCGACCGGAGCATTATAGGGACCTAAAGCATATGGCAAAAAAGAAGAAGAAAGTCAATCCTGAAGGACAACAAAGAGGCATAAGAGCCTATTCCCTGTTGTCAAACTTACATCAGTTCAGAATCCAATTCGCATACCTTCCCAATGAAGACTTTAGTAAAATCTTGAGTTTCAGTTACTTCTTCACCATCATGCCCTTTTATTTTTTTATCAATCTCTTAGTGACATCCACATACAACAGAGCTGAGTATGTTAGATTCCTCAATCTCGCTGCCTTCGGAAACAAAGTCACGTTTCTCCATCTGACATCATTGGCTTACTAAAATATATCTGACCAAAGCTAATCTTATAGATGGTCTGCAAGACACCCATAATCATTACTACCAAGAAGCAAAGTTAACCCATAAAGGAAATTCTATTTCTACTTTCAATCAAGCAATCAACAAAACTATTTACTCTATGGATAGTATAACAATAATAATTTATTTCTCTTGTAACATTTAAAATCACATTTATTTTTACAGAACAGAATACGAACATGGTTTGTAGATCTATTTATATAAAATGCTGACCCTAAATGGTTGGAAAAAGGCTTTGTAAGGCATATTTATTATATAAAATATGTAGAACTTCCATTAATTTAAATGTGGAAGATGAGGCTTAAAGTCAGAAAGATAATTATATTAAATATACTACTACTATACTTTTACCATATTTTTGCCATTACAATTGTATTTGTGGTGACCACGTATACCATAGAAAAGATAGGTTGAATAATTCGGGCATGTCATCTTGTTTTCAAAATTGTCTTATGTGATTCCTCTTAAAATGTGTTTGTGCTACAAAAATCACTTGGGCAGTGCCTTAGCTGCACCGGCCAAGTGTATGACATAATGTATTTTTTTTGGAAATTACAGCCAAGGACAAGTTCGAACACGTGTCTAAAAGTGTCTACAAATGTCACAAACATGGAAGCTCCATAGAATTGTCCATGCTTCTTAGGCAAGAAACTAAGAAATGACAATCCAACATCAAGAAGGAACTCAGACCAACACAAAATTTGTTTTCATTTTTGCTTCCCATCAAACAATTACCGAATTGTATCTCCCACATACAATTGCATTAACTAACCAATAAATACAATAGATTCTGGTAAAACTTAAATTACAATTACAATTAAACAGTGATGAATCTTTACATCCTTTGTCTCATAGGTTCATTTAAAGCAACCCAGGATTGCCAGTGTTACAGAACTATATAGTCATAAAACAGCTAACCAATTATCATAAGCAAAACCATAATTTCAGTTCAGCCGAACTAACATAAAAAAATATTAGGCTTTTCCAAGAACCACCCAGGAACACAGGAAAAACAAATTACAAAACCAACCACCTAAAGCTACTTCACACTAAAATCACATAAAGATCTTCAATTTCCACCTTCAGTCAAACTATTAACATAAGTTATCTTGACCAACCAACTAAAGCAACTAATCAATGACTATTTTATATCAGAAGTCCATCATTCAGTTAAACATAACAATTTTTTACCCAACTACTTCAGGCAGATATTCTATTTCACTATATCTAAGGTAGTCTTGTTTGCACTTGCCCAAACCATATTGATCGATTTAACGCACCCTGCACCTTCTGTCACATTCATGGGTGTTCAATAAAGAAAATTATGTATTAATCTTTTATTGTTTTCCATTTACCTTTAAATTGATCCATATATAACACAATCTCCTTTCTATAATGTCCTTTCTTCTTCTAGTCTATAATTTATTAGAAAATTGTTTGGCATAAGATATATTGACTCGATTAAATCCCACAATTATGGGGCTTCCACATCTTCTTTTTTCTGCCAGTAAATGAATAATAAAATAAAGAATCTCACTCTTATGGGTCTGCAAACATATAAATTTTGACAACTTTGAATATGTAACAGAGTTAGAAAACGTCCCCAAAAAAAAAATAAAAAAATAAAAAAATAAAAAATAAGATACAACCTATCACCATCAACTGCTTTGCTTCAAGGGGGCTGCATAACAAATTTATTATGCTGATTTCGGTGTTGCCTTGGGGTGTCTTAACAATACCAGAGTCATCTTGGTTTATCATTACCAGTTAATGGAGAGGAATGTCCTTTTAAGACTTAATTAACTCAAATGATCAATTAATGAAAAAGCTAAATTTGAAAACTATTTAATAATGAGCTATGCTACATAAACGGAAAATACACATTGAATAAACTATGCCAATCCAATTCATTGGTCAAGTGGTGTCACCAGTGAAGACTACTTCAACATTTTAAATGGTGGTTTAGGCTTTCTCAGCTTGGAAACACAAAACAGAGCTGCAATTTTAAACATATGTGGAAACTTGTGTCAAATACTCAAAACAACCTATGACTCAAACAAAATACTTAATCAGAAGGAGATGCTTTGGGGATTTTAGCATGCCTCAACAAAGCAATTGGATATGGAAAAAGCTACTTCAGCTGAGTTCCTTAGTAATGCCCTTCTTAATTAAAAACAAGGATAAAATGGTTCAAAAACTCTCTTCCGGACTAACAATTGGCAGCAAGAAGGCCCTCTGATCCTCAAATACAGCCACTCGCCAACCCATCTCTCCTTAATTCCTCGCAACCATTTTACTCAGATGATTCTTAGTGTTTCCCTCCACAAATTCTTTCCCGGTTCCCAGCTTTTAAGTTGCCTGTTAAAAGACCCTTGGATATTCAAGTACTGCTTGAAGCTAGGTTACTTAATTAGCTTATAGCTTGATTGGCGCAGGGAAAGAAAGTAATACATATAATCCTTTAGACCAATATGAAACTATGGGCTGTATTGCAAAAGGATGCACTAGCAGCGCGACCAATACCTAGTTCTTAATATAATTTTTCAGAGCGTGCACGAATGGACACTTAAGAACTGAAACAGGATGGTGTAGCAAGGTCCCTTTGGATTGAGAATCAATGCTTGATATTATAGCCCCAAGAGTAGGTTTATTGACTCCATGGCTACTCCCATTTCCATAGCTCTTCTTCTCTCCCTCCTTTTTGATAATGTTGTGCCTTCTCAACCCATTGATTTCCTCTACAACAGATTCAACCCACCATACAGATATGGATTCAACCAAACAAACCTTATTCTAGATGGATTTGCTACCATCATCCCACAAAGTGGAGCTCTTGAGCTTACTAACAAATCTTCTACTAATGTCAGAGGCCATGCATTATATCCCCAACCAATTCAATTGTTCACCAAAAATTCTTTTTCTGTCAACTCTTCTAATTCCTTTAGTACATACTTGTTTTTGAAAAAGTCCCCAAAGATGATAACCAAGGCGGCTATGGCCTCGCCTTCACTTTATCTCCTTCACCACAATTTGCCGGAGCTGAAGGGGATCACTACCTCGGAATTTTCAACTCAACAAATGATGGGAACCCCTCAAACCATACCTTTGATGTTGGATTCAACACTATTAATGGGCACAAAGAAGCACCAGATACCCCAGGTAACCATCAACTGCTTTGCTTCAAGGGGGCTGCATAACAAATTTATTATGCTGATTTCGGTGTTGCCTTGGGGTGTCTTAACAATACCAGAGTCATCTTGGTTTATCATTACCAGTCAATGGAGAGGAATGTCCTTTTAAGACTTAATTAACTCAAATGATCAATTCATGAAAAAGCTAAATTTGAAAACTATTTAATAATGAGCTATGCTACGTAAACGGAAAATACACACCGAATAAACTATGTCAATCCAATTCATTGGTCAAGTGGTGTCACCAGTGAAGTCTACTTCAACATTTTAAATGGTGGTTTAGGTTTTCGTAGCTTGGAAACACAAAATAGAGCTGCAATTTTAAAACATATGTGGAAACTTGTGTCAAATACTCAGAACAACCTATGACTCAAACAAAATACTTAATCAGAAGGAGATGTTTTGGGGATTTTAGCATACCTCAACAAAGCAATTGGATATGGAAAAAGCTACTTCAGCTGAGATCCTTAGCAATGCCCTTCTTAATCAAAAGCAAGGATAAAAATGGTTCAGAAACTCTCTTCCAGACTAACAATTGGCTGCAAGAAGGCCCTCTGATCCTCAAATACAGCCACTCGCCAGCCAATCTTTCCTTGATTCCTCGCAACCATTTTCTTAGTGTTTCCCTCCACAAATTCTTTCCCGGTTCCCAGCTTTTAAGTTGCATGTTAAAAGACCCTTGGCTATTCAAGTACTGCTTGAAGCTAGGTTACTTAATTAGTAGTGAGATCCTTCGGTAGCTTATAGCTTGATTGGCGCAGGGAAAGAAAGTAACGCATATAATCCTTTAGACCAATATGAAAATATGGGTGGTATTGCAAAAGGATGCACTAGCAGCGCGACCAATACCTAGTTCTTAATATATTTTTTCAGAGCGTGCACAAATGACCACTTAAGAACTGAAACAGGATGGTGTAGCAAGGTCCCCTTTGGATTGAGAGTCAATGATTGATCTCATAGCCCCAAGAGTAGGTTTATTAACTCCATGGCTGCTCCCATTTCCGTAGCTCTTCTTCTCTCCCTCCTTTTTGATAATGTTGTGCCTTCTCAATCCATTGATTTCCTCTACAACGGATGCAACCCAACAGACAAATATGGATTCAACCAAACAAACATTTTCTAGTAGGATTTGCTACCATCATCCCACTTAGTGGAGCTCTTGAGCTTACTAACAAAGCTTCTACTAATGTCAGAGGCCATGCATTCTATCCCCAACCAATACAATTGTTCACCAAACATTCTTCTTCCGTCAACTCTTCTAATTCCTTTAGTACAAACTTGTTTTTGAAAAAGTCCCCAAAGATGTTAACAGAGGCGGCTATGGCCTCGTCTCCATTTTATCTCCTTCACCGCAATTTCCTGGAGCTGAAGGGGATCATTACCTCGGAATTTTTAACTCAACAAATGATGGGAACCCCTCAAACCACATCTTTGCTGTTGAATTCGACACTATTGATGGGCACACAGAGGCACCAGATACCCCAGGCAACCATATTGGAATCAACATCAATAGCATGGCGTCAGTTGCATCGGAGCCGGTTTCTTATCATTTTAGTCATATTGCTGTAAAGGAAGGAGTGAGGTTGGAGAGTGAAAAACCAATCCAAGCTTGGATAGAGTACGATGGTGGAAAAGGGGTTTTGAATGTAACCATTTGGCCTGAATCAAGACCAAAACAGGCCAACGTCAGATAACGTAAGATAAAGGTCTTGGAGTACCGGAGTTTGAGAATACTAGATTAAGCTTAAACAA